GGTGATGATCAACAGGGAAGCCTGCGTGGGAAGAACAAGTCACGACACGGGTCACAGGTGCATTATGGGAAAGGAAAATGCATAGAGAGAATTTTCATGACTGAGACCAAAGTCTTGTATGTTGTAGCTACAACATTGTCTACAGTGTCGTAGATAATGGTGACATACACAGTACTGAGGCCAAAGTCTTGATTGTTGTAGCTACAACATTGTCTACAGTGTCGTAGATAATGGTGACACACAGAGAGAATGTGAGAACTTATCCAGCTTAGTGGTGAAAAATCCAGAAGACCAACATGTAGCTAAACCTTCTTTCCCCCCTCCCTTCCCCTCCCTTGATTACCCCCTCCCTCCTTCCGTCCCTTGATTACCCCCTCCCTCCCTTGATCGTCACCCTCCCTTCCCTCTCTTGATCATCACCCTCCCCTCCCTTGATCAACCCCCTCCCTCCCTCCCCCTCCTTTCAAAACCACCCTCTTGATCACCCTACCTCCGTCCAGAGAGGGAGGGTGGTGATCAAGGGAGGGAGGGTGGTGATCAAGGGAGGGAGGGTGGTGATCAAGGGAGGGGGGGTGGTGATCAAGGGAGGGGGGGTGGTGATCAAGGGAGGGGGGTGGTGCTCAAGGGAGGGGGGGTGTGATCAAGGGAGGGAGGGTGGTGCTCAAGGGAGGGAGGGTGGTGCTCAAGGGAGGGAGGGTGGTGATCAAGGGAGGGAGGTGGTCAAGGAAGGGAGGGTGGTGATCAAGGAGGGAGGGTGGTGATCAAGGCAGGGAGGGTGGTGATCAAGGCAGGGAGGGTGGTGATCAAGGCAGGGAGGGTGGTGATCAAGGAGGGAGGGTGGTGATCAAGGAGGGAGGGTGGTGATCAAGGCAGGGAGGGTGGTGATCAAGGGAGGGAGGGTGGTGATCAAGGGAGGGAGGGTGGTGATCAAGGGAGGGAGGGTGGTGATCAAGGGAGGGAGGGTGGTGATCAAGGGAGGGAGGGTGGTGGTCAAGGAAGGGAGGGTGGTGATCAAGGGAGGGAGGGTGGTGATCAAGGCAGGGAGGGTGGTGATCAAGGCAGGGAGGGTGGTGATCAAGGGAGGGAGGGTGGTGATCAAGGCAGGGAGGGTGGTGATCAAGGAGGGGAGGGTGGTGATCAAGGCAGGGAGGGTGGTGATCAAGGCAGGGAGGGTGGTGATCAAGGGAGGGAGGGTGGTGATCAAGGGAGGGAGGGTGGTGATCAAGGCAGGGAGGGTGGTGATCAAGGGAGGGAGGGTGGTGATCAAGGCAGGGAGGGTGGTGATCAAGGCAGGGAGGGTGGTGATCAAGGCAGGGAGGGTGGTGATCAAGGCAGGGAGGGTGGTGATCAAGGCAGGGAGGGTGGTGATCAAGGCAGGGAGGGTGGTGATCAAGGCAGGGAGGGTGGTGATCAAGGCAAGGAGGGTGGTGATCAAGGCAGGGAGGGTGGTGATCAAGGCAGGGAGGGTGGTGATCAAGGCAAGGAGGGTGGTGATCAAGGCAGGGAGGGTGGTGATCGAGGCAAGGAGGGTGGTGATCAAGGCAGGGAGGGTGGTGATCAAGGCAGGGAGGGTGGTGATCGAGGGAGGGAAGGTGGTGGTTAATCATCACTCTGGTCTACATAAACTCCCATGTTGGTCACTTTCCTCTTCACTTCCCCATCACTCTCTGCTAACAGTCCCCTTCACTCTCTTCTCCACACTTCACCCTCTTCTATCCTCCCCACACTTCACCCTCTTCTATCCTCCCCACACTTTACCCTCTTCTATCTTCCCCACACTTTACCCTCTTCTATCCTCCCCACACTTCACCCTCTTCTATCTTCCCCACACTTCACTGACTTTTCCCCTGCTTATTTCCGTCTCACTTCCCCTCCTGAAGCAGCATCTTTCCCTGTCTTTCCCCTCCCTTATCTACTGTTACGCCCCCCCCCCGCCCGTTTTCTTACACAGGATTTTACAAGGTTGGGTTAAGGGTTCCTAACTTTATTTACAAGTTAAGAGCTGTTACCTATATGAGCTCATTTGAAAGCGTTTTTATAGTTATGAGACGTACAAATATGGAACAGGATGGAGTTAAAGCCATCTGTGGACCAGCGATTCCATTTGATCAGTTGACTTAATTTCGTTGATATTATCTGTACAAACATGTTCCGGACTCGATTCATCCTAGGAGTAAATTATATCGGATGAAGTGATGTTCTGGAGAAGTTTTCTTGCTGCCCGTCTTGTTGTGTAGAAGCTCACTTCTTGCTGTCCTCGGAGTGGAGACAAGTGTGGTACTTTGACAATATTGGCCAGTGTTGAAGGCTCTGCTGAAATACAGATCTATCCAGGCTGGAACCAGGCGAGAGATGAGTCGTATTGCTGTGTTCTCTGTTCTGTCAAGAAGTCACAGATTTGACGGAGGGCAGACAATACAAGAAAGTGGAGCATACTCAAGGTGTGAACGTATTTGTGCCTCGTTCAGAATTTTGCAACCTCTGCTGTTGAACAGATGTGAGAAACGTCAAAGTGCTGTAAGTTTCCTGGCCAATTTGCAAGATTTACAATGTGGTTCTTCATGGTCAGTTTGGAGTCAGATTTGACCCCAGTGATATTAACTTCGCCCACTGGTACCAACAAACACTCTCCCATTCATTCTTACCACTGCTCCATGGTGGTGATGGTCCACACTGTACCATCATGGTGATGATGGTCCACACTGTACCATCATGGTGATGATGGTCCACACTGTACCATCATGGTGGTGATGGTCCAAACTGTACCATCATGGTGGTGATGGTCCAAACTGTACCATCATGGTGGTAATGGTCCACAGTGTACCATCATGGTGGTGGTGTGCCACAGTGTACCATCATGGTGGTGGTGTGCCACAGTGTACCATCATGATGGTGGTGTGCCACAGTGTACCATCATGGTGGTGATGGTCCACACTGTACCATTATGGTGGTGATGGTCAACACTGCACCACCATGGTGGTGATGGTCCACACTGCACCACCATGGTGGTGATGGTCCACACTGTACCATCATGGTGGTGATGGTCCACACTGTACCATCATGGTGGTGATGGTCCACACTGTACCATCATGGTGGTGATGGCCCACACTGTACCATCATTGTGGTGATGGTCCACACTGTACCATCATGGTGGTGGTGGTCCACACTGTACCATCATGGTGGTGATGGTCCACACTGTACCATCATGGTGGTGATGGTCCACACTGTACCATCATGGTGTGATGGTCCACACTGTACCATCATGGTGGTGATGGTCCACACTGTACCATCATTGTGGTGTGATGGTCCACACTGTACCATCATGGTGGTGATGGTCCACACTGTACCATCATGGTGGTGATGGTTCACACTGTACCATCATGGTGGTGATGGTCCACACTGTACCATCATGGTGGTGATGGTCCACACTGTACCATCATGGTGGTGATGGTCCACACTGTACCATCATGGTGGTGATGGGCCACACTGTACCATCATGGTGGTGATGGGCCACACTGTACCATCATGGTGGTGATGGGCCACACTGTACCATCATGGTGGTGATGGTTCACACTGTACCATCATGGTGGTGATGGTCCACACTGTACCATCATGGTGGTGATGGTCCACACTGTACCATCATGGTGGTGATGGTCCACACTGTACCATCATGGTGGTGATGGTTCACACTGTACCATCATGGTGGTGATGGTCCACACTGTACCATCATGGTGGTGATGGTTCACACTGTACCATCATGGTGGTGATGGTCCACACTGTAACCATCATGGTGGTGATGGTCCACACTGTACCATCATGGTGGTGATGGTTCACACTGTACCATCATGGTGGTGATGGTCCACACTGTACCATCATGGTGGTGATGGTCCACACTGTACCATCATGGTGGTGATGGTTCACACTGTACCATCATGGTGGTGATGGTTCACACTGTACCATCATGGTGGTGATGGTCCACACTGTACCATCATGGTGGTGATGGTCCACACTGTACCATCATGGTGGTGATGGTCCACACTGTACCATCATGGTGGTGATGGTCCACACTGTACCATCATGGTGGTGATGGTCCACACTGTACCATCATGGTGGTGATGGTTCACACTGTACCATCATGGTGGTGATGGTTCACACTGTACCATCATGGTGGGTGATGGTCCACACTGTACCATCATGGTGGTGATGGTCCACACTGTACCATCATGGTGGTGATGGTCCACACTGTACCATCATGGTGGTGATGGTCCACACTGTACCATCATGGTGGTGATGGTCCACACTGTACCATCATGGTGGTGATGGTTCACACTGTACCATCATGGTGGTGATGGTCCACACTGTACCATCATGGTGGTGATGGTCCACACTGTACCATCATGGTGGTGATGGTCCACACTGTACCATCATGGTGGTGATGGTTCACACTGTACCATCATGGTGGTGATGGTTCACACTGTACCATCATGGTGGTGATGGTTCACACTGTACCATCATGGTGGTGATGGTTCACACTGTACCATCATGGTGGTGATGGTCCACACTGTACCATCATGGTGGTGATGGTTCACACTGTACCATCATGGTGGTGATGGTCCACACTGTACCATCATGGTGGTGATGGCACCATGATGCCAAACAACGTTTTACTGTTTCATCAACATTTTTTTTTTATCAACAAAATCATCTATTTAAATTTTTATCTATAAAAATAGACATCTGTGTTCTTACTCGTGTGTGTGTGTGTGTGTGTGTGTGTGTGTGTGTGTGTGTGTGTGTGTGTGTGTATATATATATGTATGTGTGTGTGTGTGTGTGTATATATGTATGTGTGTGTGTGTGTGTTTTAATGTTACAACCGTCCCATGTATCCAGTTGTACTCTGCCCATCCCTTTTGCTTCCCTTCCTTTCTTTGCCCTACCCTGCCCTGCCCTGCCCTGCCCTGCCTTGAAGTGTGTTTAACTGTTGTGTTGTGTTGCAGGGGAGCGTTCTCTGTGGTGCGTCGGTGCGTGCAGAAGACCACTGGTCTGGAGTTTGCTGCCAAGATTATTAACACCAAGAAACTCTCAGCCAGAGGTTAGTAACTTACCATCATCACTACTATCAACACACTCCCATCTGCACGCTCACATGTGCACACCTGTAAATACTCACATGTGCACACCTGTAAACACTCGCATGTGCACACCTGTAAACACTCGCATGTGCACACCTGTAAACACTCGCATGTGCACACCTGTAAATACTCGCATGTGCACACCTGTAAATACTCACATGTGCACACCTGTAAACACTCGCATGTGCACACCTGTAAACACTCGCATGTGCACACCTGTAAATACTCACATGTGCACACCTGTAAATACTCACATGTGCACACCTGTAAACACTCGCATGTGCACACCTGTAAATACTCGCATGTGCACACCTGTAAATACTCACATGTGCACACCTGTAAATACTCAAATGTGCACACCTGTAAATACTCACATGTGCACACCTGTAAACACTCGCATGTGCACACCTGTAAATACTCACATGTGCACACCTGTAAATACTCACATGTGCACACCTGTAAACACTCGCATGTGCACACCTGTAAATACTCACATGTGCACACCTGTAAATACTCACATGTGCACACCTGTAAACACTCGCATGTGCACACCTGTAAAAACTCACATGTGCACATCTGTAAACACTCACATGTGCACATCTGTAAACACTCACATGTGCACATCTGTAAACGCTCATATTTGCATTTAGTGGATCTCTCTTTTTTGTGTTATGAATACATTTTAATTTCGTTCATATATATATATATATATATATATATATATATATATATATATATATATATATATATATAATATATATATATATATATATATTATATATAATATGAAGGTAGTAGGTTGGTAGACAGCAACTACCCAGGGAAGTACTACCGTCCTGCCAGATGACTGTGAAACAGAAACCTGTAACTGTTTTGCATAATGGTAGGATTGCTGGTTTCTTTTTCTGTCTCATAAACACGCTAGATAACAGGGATATCTTGCTACTCCTACTTACACTTTGGTCACACTTCACAGACACGCACATGCATGTATATATACATCTAGGTTTTTCTCCTTTTTCTAAATAGCTCTTGTTCTTCTTTATTTCTTCTATTGTCCATGGGGAAGTGGAAAAGAATTTTTCCTCCGTAAGCCATGCGTGTCGTGTGAGGCGACTAAAATGCCGGGAGCAACGGGCTGGTAACCCCTTCTCCTGTAGACATTTACTAAAAAAGAGAAGAAGAAAAACTTTATAAAACTCGGATGCTTGAATGTGCGTGGATGTAGTGCGGATGACAAGAAACAGATGATTGCTGATGTTATGAATGAAAAGAAGTTGGATGTCCTGGCCCTAAGCGAAACAAAGCTGAAGGGGGTAGGGGAGTTTCGGTGGGGGGAAATAAATGGGATTAAATCTGGAGTATCTGAGAGAGTTAGAGCAAAGGAAGGGGTAGCAGTAATGTTGAAGGATCAGTTATGGAAGGAGAAAAGAGAATATGAATGTGTAAATTCAAGAATTGTGTGGATTAAAGTAAAGGTTGGATGCGAAAAGTGGGTCATAATAAGCGTGTATGCACCTGGAGAAGAGAGGAATGTAGAGGAGAGAGAGAGATTTTGGGAGATGTTAAGTGAATGTATAGGAGCCTTTGAACCAAGTGAGAGAGTATTTGTGGTAGCGGACCTGAATGCTAAAGTAGGAGAAACTTTTAGAGAGGGTGTGGTAGGTAAGTTTGGGGTGCCAGGTGTAAATGATAATGGGAGCCCTTTGATTGAACTTTGTATAGAAAGGGGTTTAGTTATAGGTAATACATATTTTAAGAAAGAGTTTAAATAAGTATACAAGATATGATGTAGGGCGAAATGACAGTAGTTTGTTGGATTATGTATTGGTAGATAAAAGACTGTTGAGTAGACTTCAGGATGTACATGTTTATAGAGGGGCCACAGATATATCAGATCACTTTCTAGTTGTAGCTACACTGAGAGTAAAAGGTAGATGGGATACAAGGAGAATAGAAGCATCAGAGAAGAGAGAGGTGAAGGTTTATAAACTAAAAGAGGAGGCAGTTAGGGTAAGATATAAACAGCTATTGGAGGATAGATGGGCTAATGAGAGCATAGGCAATGGGGTCGAAGAGGTATAGGGTAGGTTTAAAAATGTAGTGTTAGAGTGTTCAGCAGAAGTTTGTGGTTACAGGAAAGTGGGTGCGGGAGGGAAGAGGAGCGATTGGTGGAATGATGTAAAGAGAGTAGTAAGGGAGAAAAAGTTAGCATATGAGAAGTTTTTACAAAGTAGAAGTGATGCAAGGAGGGAAGAGTATATGGAGAAAGAGAGAAGTTAAGAGAGTGGTGAAGCAATGTAAAAAGAGAGCAAATGAGAGAGTGGGTGAGATGTTATCAACAAATTTTGTTGAAAATAAGAAAAAGTTTTGGAGTGAGATTAACAAGTTGAGGAAGCCTAGAGAACAAATGGATTTGTCAGTTAAAAATAGGAGAGGAGAGTTATTAAATGGAGAGTTAGAGGTATTGGGAAGATGGAGGGAATATTTTGAGGAATTGTTAAATGTTGATGAAGATAGGGAAGCTGTGATTTCGTGTATAGGGCAAGGAGGAATAACATCTTGTAGGAGTGAGGAAGAGCCAGTTGTGAGAGTGGGGAAAGCTCGTGAGGCAGTAGGTAAAATGAAAGGGGGTAAGGCAGCCGGGATTGATGGGATAAAAATAGAAATGTTAAAAACAGGTGGGGATATAGTTTTGGAGTGGTTGGTGCAATTATTTAATAAATGTATGGAAGAGGGTAAGGTACCTAGGGATTGGCAGAGAGCATGCATAGTTCCTTTGTATAAAGGCAAAGGGGACAAAAGAGAGTGCAAAAATTATAGGGGGATAAGTCTGTTGAATATGCCTGGTAAAGTGTATGGTAGAGTTATTATTGAAAGAATTAAGAGTAAGACGGAGAATAGGAAAGCAGATGAACAAGGAGGCTTTAGGAAAGGTAGGGGGTGTGTTGACCAGGCGTTTACAGTGAAACATATAAGTGAACAGTATTTATATAAGGCTAAAGAGGTCTTTGTGGCATTTATGGATTTGAAAAAGGCGTATGACAGGGTGGATAGGGGGGCAATGTGGCAGATGTTGCAGGTGTATGGTGTAGGAGGTAGGTTACTGAAAGCAGTGAAGAGTTTTTACGAGGATAGTGAGGTTAAGTTAGGGTATGTAGGAAAGAGGGAAATTATTTCCCAGTAAAAGTAGGCCTTAGACAAGGATGTGTGATGTCACCGTGGTTGCTTAATATATTTATAGATGGGGTGTAAGAGAAGTAAATGCGAGGGTCTTGGCAAGAGGCATGGCGTTAAAAGATAAAGAATCACACATAAAGTGGGAGTTGTCACAGTTGCTCTTCGCTGATGACACTGTGCTCTTGGGAGATTCTGAAGAGAAGTTGCAGAGATTGGTGGATGAATTTGGTAGGGTGTGCAAAAGAAGAAAATTAAAAGTGAATACAGGAAAGAGTAAGGTTATGAGGATAACAAAAAGATTAGGTGATGAAAGATTGGATATCAGATTGGAAGGAGAGAGTATGGAGGAGGTGAATGTATTCAGATATTTGGGAGTGGACGTGTCAGCGGATGGGTCTATGAAAGATGAGGTGAACCATAGAACTGATGAGGGGAAAAGGGTGAGTGGTGCACTTAGGAGTCTGTGGAGACAAAGAACTGTGTCATTGGATGCAAAGAGGTGAATGTATGAGAGTATAGTTTTACCAATGCTCTTATATGGGTGTGAAGCATGGGTGATGAATGTTGCAGCGAGGAGAAGGCTGGAGGCAGTGGAGATGTCATGTCTGAGGGCATGTGTGGTGTGAATATAATGCAGAGAATTCGTAGTTTGGAAGTTAGGAGGAGGTGCGGGATTACCAAAACTGTTGTCCAGAGGGCTGAGGAAGGGTTGAGGTGGTTCGGACATGTAGAGAGAATGGAGTGAAACAGAATGACTTCAAGAGTGTATCAGTCTGTAGTGGAAGGAAGGCGGGGTAGGGGTCGGCCTAGGAAAGGTTGGAGGGAGGGGGTAAAGGAGGTTTTGTGTGCGAGGGGCTTGGACTTCCAGCAGGCATGCGTGAGCGTGTTTGATAGGAGTGAATGGAGACAAATGGTTTTTAACACTTGACGTGCTGTTGGAGTGTGAGCAAAGTAACATTTATGAAGGGGTTCAGGGAAACTGGCAGTCCGGACTTGAGTCCTGGAGGTGGGAAGTACAGTGCCTGCACTCTGAAGGAGGGGTGTTAATGTTGCAGTTTAAGAACTGTAGTGTAAAGCACCCTTCTGGCAAGACAGTGATGGAGTGAATGATGGTGAAAGTTTTTCTTTTTCAGGCCACCCTGCCTTGGTGGGAATCGGCCAGTGTGATAATATATATATATATATATATATATATATATATATATATATATATATATATATATATATATATATATATATATATATATATATATATATATATATATATTCTTTCCTTCAACACATCAGCCGTATCCCACCAAGGCAGGGTGGCACAAAAAAAAAACGAAAATTTCTCTTAAATATAGTAATTTATACGGGAGAAGGGATTACTAGCCCCTTGCTCCCGGCATTTTAGTCGCCTCTTACAATACGCATGGCTTACGGAGGAAGAATTCTGTTCCACTTCCCCATGGAGATAAGAGGAAATAAACAAGAACAAGAACTAGAAAGGAAATAGAAGAATACCCAGAGGGTATTCTTCTATTTCACATACATGTACAAGCATGTGCATACATGTACATGCTTGTACATGTATGTGTAGTGTGACCCAAGTGCAAGTAGAAGTAGCAAGACGTACCTGAAATCTTGCATGTTTGAGACAGACAAAAGACACCAGCAATCCTACCATCATGTAAAACAATTACAGGTTTTCGTTGTTCACTCACTTGGCAGGACGGTAGTACCTCCCTGGGGGGTTGCTGTTTACCAACCTACTACCTAGGAGATTATATATATATAT